TTGCCACTTAAGGGCAATTGGTGAAGCATTAGTCTTAGATCGATAAGAGTTAACAAGGAAGCAGGATATGCATATTGACAGGTTTCAGAGTAGCAGCCGTGTTAGTCTGTATCCGCAAAAAGAACAGGAGTACTTGTGCATCCGAAGAAGTGGGCTGTAGTCCACGAAAGCTTATGCTCTAATAAATTTGTTAGTCTCTAAGGTGCCACAAGTACTCCTGTTCTTCGATATGCATATTGTGCTCCATGCATATTTTACAATTTTGCTCTCTCTGTCCCTTTGTTTAGTTCGCACCCTTTTATCTGTATAAATAAGACTGTTTGAATCTTGCATGGAGGCTCACATTATCTGAATGTATTAGCAGAGCGCTGTGCTAATAAACAGAGTGGTCTTGACAAAATTGTGAGTCCTGATTCTAACTTTGACACCATTTACCTCTCTCCATTCTGAAAATAGACCATTTATTCCTATCCTTTGTTTCCTATCATGTAACTGGGGTGCCTGGGAATACCCATTCCACACTCAAGCTCTGGCTCCTGGGTGCTCACTACCCACTATTTTTTTTCTGTGGGTGCTTGAGCCCCAGAGCACCCACGGAGTCGGCACCTATGCTCACAGTGCTGAGCACAGAGATGGTGCCCAGTGAAAAATACAAATCATGACAATAATCGTCGACTTTATGTACTCTGTGGATGCAATTTCTTTTCTTTGTTCTGGAATTGGCCTGGATACATGAAACCCTAAGAATTTGAGGCATAAACACATCTGATACTCATACGACCCTTTCTCCTTCCTTCCTTTTTCTCAAACTCAGAACAAAAAATGACAAAACAAAATAGTTTTCAGTCAAAATGTAAAATTGCACAGCAGCCATTGCTCTATAGCCCAGCCTGGGGCAGAACCTGCCCCCTCTTGGGAGTTAAGTGATCTTCTCTCATCTGACTCTCATTCTCTCTCTTTCTTCATCCTTCCTGACCTCTGTGCTGCTTTTCATGCTGTCAACCATGACATCCTTCCCAAGTGCCTGGGACCGTTTCCTGGAGTCTCGGAGAACTGGCTGTCTTGCTTTTGCCCCTATCTATCAGAGTTCTCTTTTTTTCCAGCATGCAGCAGAGCGAAAGAGGCTGTCTGCTGGATAGGGAGCTAGCCCTGAAAGACATGGGCTCTGCTCCCCCCATGGACTTCCTGTATGACCTCAGGCCAGGGTATTAAGGGCAGAGTTTCAAAACCTTTTAGGCACCCAAAGATGCAGCTAGGCATCTAGTGGGGATTACAAAGCACCTAACCTTACCACTAGGTGCCTAAATAGCTTTGAAAAATCTGGCCTTTAGTTTGTGTGCATCAGTGCCCCGTCTGTACAATGGGGATAACAGCACTGCTCTACCTCACTGAGGGGCTGTGAGGAGAACTAGGTTAGATATTGTGAGGGGCCACATAAGTACCACATGTAGAGTGGGAACCTCTCTATACACTGCTATCCCTTCCCTGGGTTTTGGCCCCTTCACCTATGCCCCCAAATCTCCCCCTTTTCTGAATGTAATCTTGGCTCAGAGGACTTGGCTGTATTTCTTGAGTCCCCTGTGTTCTCTCCAAAATAACTCTCCCTCCCTCCCTCCCCCCAAAGCTTGACTGCCAGATCCTTAATTTAATCACCAGCCCTTTTTTATCTTGATCACCCTGCCTCTGTTTGTAAACAAAATACTCTCTCCCTGCCACAGGGGCACCTCTCCTCTGCACTAATGCTGTGTTGTAGTTAAGAGCTCCACCTGGGAGCACAACTCAGGGAGGGAGGGAGTCCCCCTGCCCCACTAAATGGTGCCCCTGCCCTTCCTTTCTGATATAGAGCTCACCCTTAATACTTAAATAGTCATTGCGCTAGAGAGAGAGGTTGACTATATATATAGTGCAGTGATTCAGGCACTCACCTCAGATACGGGAGACCCAACTTCAAGGCCCTGGTCTGATGAGTATTTATACAAAATGGAAAACCTTCAATGGGAGAGATTAAGCAAAACCCACTCCATGGTACCCCCTGTCCCAGTGGTTATGGTACTCATCTAGGAGACCTTATTTCAAGTCCTCTGAGGCAGTGTAGAGATTTGAACCTGGGTCTTCTACATCCTAAGTGAATGCTGTAACCACTGGGTTATTGGGTATAAGAGCGCCTCCTCCTCCAGCTGTGTTTTATGTGGGGCCCGACCCAGTAAAAAATGCTCTAAGGCAGCCTCTGAGTACCTCCAGGATTGGGCCCCACAGGCAAGATAGCCGGGGAATGCCTAGTTTGTGAATCCTGCTAGGGCTTAAACATGAGTTGCTTTTCACTTGCAATGCTGGAATGCCTGACTTCATGGGGTCTTTGGGTGGCTGTGAAGACCCCCTACAGGACAGACATATATACAGCAACACGCTCTAAAAATCTGATTGGACATTTATTTTTAACACAAATCACCATGGGCTAGAACCGGTGCGGGAAAAAGATGTTACTGAATTGAATGGTTTCAGAGTAGCAGCCGTGTTAGTCTGTATCCGCAAAAAGAAGAACAGGAGTATTTGTGGCACCTTAGAGACTAACAAATTTATTAGAGCATAAGCTTTCGTGGACTACAGCCCACTGAATTGAATGTGTAACATATGTAGTACACAAGTGCCCCAGACACGTGGCTGCAGCCTGTCTGCTTGACACCAGTGGATTGCATGCTCATGGATCTAGCTGGAAGGAAAATCCTGTCTTGTGAGTGTCTGTCCTAATTACCACTTGCTTGCTGGATAAACCACTTCATTATGGGTTAGTGTCTACACAAGGAATGTAGATCGCGTGGGGATAGCTTCCCAGGCAGCATGATTTCACATCTTATTCTACCACACTAGGAAGCTATCCCCCACGCGAACTACATTTCTGCATAGGCATTACTTACCATCACTGCTACATTTATGGTTTACTCTCTTGCTTAAAAACATGGAGAAAAATATGCTCATTGGTCCTATTCTTTACATGTATTCTCGGTGTCACATATATAATGCCTCCAAATTGCTGTACACAGAGAGCAGGAAGGTGGCAGAGATAGAACCAAGCCAGAGACCTGTATAGACATGAGATTTGTTAAGCAGACATGAGATTTTAATCCTAACCACATCAAACATCAGCAGTTCAAAGGTAGGATACCAAAGAATCAGATGCCACAATGCACATTACACCAATCCTCACATGCCACCCGTTAGTGAATTATTATACATACATTATTTAGGGGGGATTCCTGTCAAACTCTGTGCACCTCTGCCAGTTGGCATCAGGAGGTGCCTTTCTCCCTCATGTTATATCATGGGTTCTCAAACTGGGGGTCGGGACCCCTCAAGGGGTCACGAGGTTATTATGGGGGGGTCGTGAGTTGTCAGTCTGCACCCCAAATCCCGCTTTGCCTCCAGCATTTATAATGGTGTTAAATATATTTAAAAAGTGTTTTTAATTTATAAGGGGGGGTGGCACTCAGAGGCTTTTTATGTGAAAGGAGTCACCAGTACAAAAGTTTGAGAACCACTGTGTTACATACCACAGATGCGGGAAATGGAGCTATGCCCTTTCCCTTTTGCAGGGGCTGGGCCACGCTTCCTTACCACTCCCCTGCGAGTTTGTATTGTCTAGGCAGAGGAGGCGCTACAGAGAAATTCTGGCCAAGCAGCTCCAAGCTGTGACATTATCAAAGGAGGGGCGGGTGTCTGAGAAATAGAGAGAGAGAAGGGGAATGGGTGGAGACAGAAATAGCAAAGAGTGAGAGAACAGGAGCAGGAGAAAGAGGCAGGGGTGAGAGTTAAAAACACGTGGGGGGGCAAAGGGGAGAACGATCATGGAGCTGCTCCTGTGGCTCTGGTCCCAGCTTCGATCCTGCGGGAACAACCTCCCAGCACTGGGCATAGCCCTCACAGTCTTCGCTCTGCTATTTGATTTCCTGAAGCGCAGGAAGAGCTGGAGTCGCTACCCACCAGGGCCGACCTCGCTGCCTTTCATTGGGACCATGCTGCAGATCGATTTCCACAACCCGCACCGCTCCTTTACCCAGGTCAGTGCCAGAGGGGCTGGAGAGCACAGCTGAGGTGACCAGATAGCAAGTGTGAAAAACTGGGACGGGGTGGGGGGTAATTGGCGTCTATATAAGACAAAACCCTGGATATCAGAACTGTCCCTATAAAATCGGGACATCTGGTCACCCTAAGCACAGCGTGCTGGGGAACAGAGCTGGTGCGGGCAGGTGGTTCCTTAATCCAGCAGGTGTGGGCTGGAGGGGTTATTTTACATGCTGGGGCATGTCAGTAGCAGTCAGTCCACTAGGGGAGGAGGGGCTCTAACGCTCTCTGATTACAGCAGAACCTCAAAGATAGGAACAGCAGAGTGGTGGACTTACCGGTCAACCGGACACCCTCTGGAACCGGAAGTCCTCAATAAATCAGGCAGGCAGCAGCGCAGAACAACAACAAAAAATACCCCCCCCAAATACCGTACTGCCTGGGGCTCAGGGCTTCAGCCAAGGGGGTTGAGGCCACAGCCGCAGGGTGGGAGAATCAGGGCTGGGGGGACTCGGGGCTTCTGACCCTCGGGAGCAGCAGGGTTCAGAGCTTTAGGGGCGGGAGGGATGGGGCTCCTAGCTTCAGCCCCGGGTAGGGCGCCGGGGCTCAGGGCTTTAGCTAGCAGGGGAGCACCCCAGCACTCCCACTGTAGCTAAAGTCCCAAGTCCTGGCGCCGCTCGCTGAAACTGGGAACGGAGCCGAGGGGAGCCCCGGCAACCCCCGCGGGCCAGGGCAGGAGCAGAGACGTGGGCTGAAGCCCCTCCCCCTCGGTCTAAAGCCCGGAGCCCTGGCGCTCCTGCTGGGCAGAAGCCCTGAGCGCTCCGCCCCGGGCCAGAAGCTTCCGACTCTCCCGCCCCCACTCTGACTCCCCCGACCCCCACCCACCCTGGGGGTGCAGCCCCAATCCTCCCGCCCCCACCCGCTGAGGTCCCTAACCTCCTCTTCAGAGTTACAGACGGACACCTGAGGTGTCCCTAACTGCGAGGTTCTCCTGTATCTGCTGTGGCTTTGCTCTGGCTCTAGAACCCAGAAGGCAACATTCCTTCTGCACATGTTGTGATAGCGCTGGAGGAGAGTGACACTCTCTCTCTCGCTCTCTCTCTTTCCCTTCTCCCTGTAATTTCAGTTGGAGACATTGTAGTGGGCTGGGATGTTGCACAATATTAGCACCGTTAAACAGCTGCTGCATTCCACCTCAGAGATGGCTGCACTTCAGTGGTGGGTGAACTGGTCCTTTTATGTACCATTTATAGCCTCTGGGATGAAAAGGGCTAGTGAAGGATTTATTGTATATGAAAATTCATTTGTCTCTGCTCAGATCCATTCATTCAAAAGTTTCTCTGGTTTGGGGATGTGGATGCATAGACGACAGCTTCCTTGTAGAAATGATAAAGAGTCTCAGCAAAAGTGAACAAAACCATAATCTCCAGGATATGCTTTTATGTAATCTCCAGGAAACTTTAGGATGTGCTTGCTGGCTGTGTCTGCCCTAACAAGAGCACATACAACCCCTACAGGGTTAGTTCTTTCAAGTGAATGCTTTTTCCTGTCTGGGAAACTATTGATGTAGCTGTGACGGGTTAAATCACACAACCCCCCTTTGGGAGCTGCCACCTGATCTGCCAAGACTACCTCTGATCCTGCTTTCCTGCCCTGTCAGTTTAGGACTTCAGTGCCCTGACTGGTTTGAGCCAGACTTGCTAGCCTGCTGCAAACCCAGACCCAGGTCTGAATCACGTCCCCTAACAGCTATAGGCTTAGCTGATTTCAGGTAACAGACGTGTTCTTATCTTTAACACTCAGATGCCCAACTCCCAATTGGGTCTAAACCCAAATAAATCCATTTTACCCTGTATAAATCATAAACTCCTTCAGAGACCCTTTTCCAGTCCCCCCAATACATCACTTTCAAGTGGCAGGCCCCCGGCCTTCACTTCACTCTGGTGTGGGACAATGTTCCCTCTAATTTTTCCCATCCATGGGAATGAATTTCGTTATGTGCATCAACATGGAGGTGATGTGTGGCAGAGGTGGGGCCGAAGGGTTCGGAGTGTGAAAGGGGGCTTAGGGCTGGGGTGCAGGGGGTGAGGGCTCTGACTGGGGAGGTGGGCTCTGGGATGGAGCCGGGGATGAGGGGTTCAGGGTGTGGGGGGGGGCTCAGGGCTGGGGCAGTGGGTTGAGGTGTGGGGTGCTGAGGGCTCCAGCTGGGGCTGGGGATGAGGTGTTTGGGGTGCAGGCTGCCCCAGAGCTGCAGTGGGGAGAAAGGACTCCCCCCAGTCTTCTCCCTGCCACAGCAGATCCAGGACTGGGGCCAGGGGAGAAACGCCTCTCCCCGCCCCAGCCCCTGGGCTGGCGGAGTCCTCTCTCCCTGCCGCAGCCCTGGAGCTGGGAGGGTGTGATGGGTTGGATCACAGACACCCTCTTGGGAGCTGCCACTCAATGTACCAAGACTACTTCTATCCCTGTTTTCCCTGCCAGCTCAGGACTCCAGCACCCTGTCTTGCTGAGCCAGACACTCCCGTCTGCTCCAACACAGACCCAGGGTCTGAACCACGTGCCCCAAAGCTGCAGGTTTACCTCAAAACAGCTCACAGAAGTGTGCTTGACTTTAGCACTCAGATGCCCAACTCCCAGTGCGGTCTAAACCCAAATAAATCCGTTTTACCCTGCATAAGTAAACTCATAAATTGTTTGCTCTCTATAACACTGATAGAGAGATATGCACAGTTGTTTGCTCCCCCAGGTATTAATACATACTCT